CTAATTGTCAATCATCTTTGACGATAGTGGTCCTGACAGAAACTACAGTCCGTGACTCATACAAATAGAATGTGTTTAAATCATTATTTCATCAGCTTCTCCTTCTGTTTTCAGTCTTAAAGGTACCTTAAAAACCAAACTGCTTCTGCAGGAGTGCCATTTTACTTGGTCTCTAAGAGAAGAAGAAGACTTTGTTCTCTATGATTTACTGAATCGTCTTGAGGAACAGATTCAGTTGGAATCTGACGAGGCAAGAATAACACGAGCTTACAGCAGCATTGGATTTGTTCTGTATCTCTATGGCTACCAGCAGGAAGCACTCGTAAGTCTGCAGAAATCAGTGCAGCTTGCAAAAGAACACTACAAAGACAGTGATGAAGTTCTTATTGTTACCTATGGAGACCTTGCCTGGTTGCATTATCATATGAATGAATTCTCTATATGTGAAGATTACTTGAGAGAGTTAGAGAAGATCCGCAGAAAATGTTCTGAAGGATTCACTTATACTGTTGAGGTGCTCAGAGAAAAGGGTTGGACTTTTCTTAAATTCTCTTACAAATACTACAATGCTGCAAAGGAATGCTTTAGACAGGCCCTTGAAATGAACCCAGATGACAGTGATTTAAATGCAGGCTATGCTATTGCAATGTACCGCACAACAAAAGACACCTCTGACTCTTCAAACTCGCAAACAATAAAACAGCTTGAAATAGCTGTAGAGCTTAATCCAGATGATGCTGTTCTGTTAGTGTTTCTAGCCTTGAGAATGCAGCATTACAAAGATGATAGGAAGAAACCCGAAACTGCACTGAAGAAGGTGATTATGGCACTGATGATGTCCCCTGAAAACCCACACGTCATAAGATACGCAGCAAAATTTTGCCGCCAATTAGGAAACATGGACGCTGCCATTACTCTACTGGAAGGAGCCCTGCAGTCTACCCCAAACTCAGCCTTTATACACCATCAACTGGCTCTGTGTTACAAAAGCACAAAAATATTCCTGGAAAAAAAATATAGGACACAAGGTAAAGCAGGGTTTGATTTTGAAGAATCTAATGAAAAACAGCAATACCTGGATCAGTGCATCGAGCATCTGGAAAAGGCAGTTTCCCTAAAGCCTTCTTTCGTTATTGCCGCGGCAGATTTAGCACTGCACTACGGACAACGTGGTAGTTTTGAGGAAGCTGAGATATTTTTTGAGAAAGCATTTAAAATGGCGAATAATGAAAAGCAGTACTTGCCGAACGTTCATTGTTTATATGGCAAATACCAGCTCTATACCAGAAGATCTGAAGAACTGGCCATCCATCATTTCATGCAAGGCCTGAGGCTGCAGCC